TAGTCTGTGATGTTTCGCACCCTCGTGGTCTGCTCTCGAGCTGCCTGGCACACACACAGTCAGGAGGGCTTGTGGTTACCTGGCTGCGATGTGGCTGCATGTCCTCCTCTTTGTGTTCAGATCTGAAACATGTCACTTTTATTGTAAACTCTTGTTAGCCTTTGTTCCCCAGCCAGCCATGGGGAAGGCGCCCTCTTTCTGCCCTCTGGAACCCCTTACTTCTCCCCACCAGCATTGAACCTCAGCAGCGTGGGTCAGTGGTCAAAAATTAGCTTTGCTTACAATAAGACCTTAGAAGAAAATACACCTTGTTGTATTTACCACAATATGCTATATTACTTTGCTTTCCCCATTTCCTTTAGGCCTCTGGAGATCAGGACCATCGAGTATGGTTGTGCAGGTTGTGGACTGCACATGGGTGTCACTTCTAAGGGGAGCATCATTCACATCACAAATATCATAGGCTTCTATATTTATTATAACAATCTTCTGGAAGATGGCAGTAAAGAGTTTTGCTCTAACAAAATTAGTATATTAGGACAATTTTTCAGTAAAAAGAAGAAAAGCATCTTGAAGAAGAGGTGCCATTTAAACCAGGGAGTGTTCTATTTAAATGANAAATTAGTATATTAGGACAATTTTTCAGTAAAAAGAAGAAAAGCATCTTGAAGAAGAGGTGCCATTTTATCATTTTCCCGGTAGCATTGTATGGGCCCAGAGTTGATTTCAGACAGTTTTCTAGATTCTTACTTTCCCCTCAAAGGAGAGCTTTCTCAGAACACAAACCTGGGAAGCAGGTAAACCAGAGCTGAGAGAATGGGGTTGAGGTGAATGGTTTAAAAACCATTGTGTGATTATTCCTATCTCTTTGTATTATAATACGATTCCTTTTACTTTTAGTAAGGGTAGAGAGTAAACTAACCTATACAGCCTACACTGCCCTCTGTGACTGACCCCTGCCTATTTCTTGGCCCTCACCATGTACCAAGCTCACCGTCAATCCTCAGCAGATGTCACACTGCCCTTCCTGTACTCCCTCATGGCGGCCACACATTTTCCTGCCCCAGGACCTTTGCAAATGCTACTGTCTCTGTGGAATCCTCTTTGCCCAATTGACTTATATTCATCTTTTGGATCCCATAATGTTAGTTTCTCAGAGAAGCTTTTCCCAAATACCCTGTCTATATTAAATCTCTCAGCTCTCATACCATGATCATGTGCCTCTCTTGTGATCTACTTGTCACATTTAGATTTGTTTTGTCTTCTTTTTGTTTTGGCAGCTGGCCAGTATGGGGATCTGAACCCTTGACCTTGGGGTAATCAGCATCACACTCTAACCAACTGAGCTAACCAGCCAGCCCTGTTTTGTAATTATTTGATTGAGGTGTGTTTCTCCCACCCAGTTGTGAACTCCAGGAGGTGAGGGAGTATGATGACTGGTTTGGGTCCCCAGTGGATCCCTCGAATTTAGTCAGTGCACCTGGAGTTGAGTTATACATAACTAAATAAATTAGAAAACAAACCACAGAAAACCATTCATTAAAAACCTGCTATTTTCTAGGCTCTGTGCTAGACCCAGGGAATAATGAAAACTGGCAACAAAACCTAAGTAGGCTTATCCACCATAACATTTTATGGTTACTCCTCTGGCCCATAGCTGGCCACAATATGGCAGCTTCAAAGGGCCGTTGGGGTGATATCCACATTCCAGCCACATTGGCCTACAAGGACCCTCCCTAAGTAATTCTTGAACAGGCCTGAGCATCCTGGGTCTCTTCTCTGCTCTCTACCCACCCTTCAAGGCTAAGATCTTTCACGAGCCCCAGGGACTCTCTGCGCTGGCACAGCAGTTGCCCTCTGCTCCTTGTTATCCATGGTACAAGAAGGGGAGTGGAGTATATGGCTGTCCAACCAGCGGACTTCTCAACTCCAGCACGACCCCAGCCCGCGGGGTTCCCTAATGCCCTTGTCTCCTCCTGTGCCCACGGTCTGGAGAGTTTACCCTGCTGAACAACAGGATCCTGCTGCCCAGCAGTTGTGCCCCAGGGCACTTCAGCCAGCTTTTGATGGAAAGCTAAGTAAGCTCAGGGTCTTAAAGAGAAGAAAACACATATCTGCACCCCCTCTGATAAAGCCCCGCAGCCACAGATATAGCACAACAGCTCTCGGTGATGAAGTCACAGTCACATACGTTTTTTAAATTTTCATAAGTCATATTCTGTTGTGAAAAATTCCGAGGAATTATTTAATTGGGAATTTTTTATACTAAATACTGCCTTAATAAATGACATTAAATATATTACATATATGTTATGTGTTTTTACTTAAATTGAAACATAATTTTTATAAATTTATAGTTATTATTTTTTCTAATTTAGATTATTTGAATTATTGCATATAATTTAAGTAAGTTTTTCTGATTACCACAATAATGTTTCACTATATAAATGTTTTTGACCAAAAAAAAAAACCACACATGCAAAAGACAACATAAATCACCCACAATCCTACTATTCATAGATAGCTATCTTTACCATTTTTCTGTGGGTTTCTAATTGATTGTTTTCCCATTATGCCCACATGTATCTTTTTATTTATGTATTTATTTTTATTGAAACATAATTGATTATACACATTTGTAGGGTACAAGTTGAATGTCAGTACCCGTGTACAATATGTGGTGAGCACATCAAATCAGGGTAATTAATATATTCATCATTATACAGTGTAATCATTCTTTGTGACCCTTTACCAATTTCTCACTAACCTCTCCTCCCCCTTTCCCAGTTCCCTCTGGTAACTTCAATTCTGTTCTCTCCTTTTGAAAGTTCAGCATATTATTGAGA